ACTTAAGTCACCTTCCTTTCCCTTTCTGTTGCTCTGTTTCAACTTCAACAGGTCATCTTGACCAGGTCTTCATGCCTAACTGCCATAAAATATGGTTATAAGATCTTTACATTTACAAGTAGCTGAACAGATATATCTAAAGAAGTGGCCAAAGAGTTATCATTTAGCATTTATAAATAAGTCTCCTTGAACAAAACATATAAACGCATTGTATTAATGTAGTCTTGTGAGTTAGTCTTGGAAAGAAGACGTGTAATCCTGTGCATGATATCGGTCACTTATGAGCTTTCCATTTTGTTCTTATTGTGTTGCCATTACTCAGGGGAACAAGTGTAGCATCAAAGCCCTCCATGTGTGCATAGTACATATTCCCATCTGTCTTGTGGATTCTGGGTATGTAGGACACGCCTGACTTGCATGAAATTTTACACTAAATTAAAAAAATGACTCCAAGGCAGCGACGCAGAGCTGATGTTTGCAGTATACCTGTATAGTGTAATTGGAAGTATGTAGGGTTTAATTTAAACAGTCTATTGTACATCACCTACCAAGCCTTAGGTCTGCCAACATTAAACAAATATCCACAACAGTGTATTTCCTACAGCCTTGAGAGCATTGTAGCACTTTGTGTTGTTTGTATTTCTAAAATAGGCCTATAAGTGATTATCTCTGACTTTGTGTACTAATGGTTTGGTTGTGTTGGTATGCCATGAAACAAATGTTCTGTCTGTATGTGTGTATTACTGGCTCACCTTGCATGTCTCACCAGAGCAAGGGAAAAGCTTTTTTGTTTTCTCCATACTGCATTGATAGTTCTGAGCAGGATCCCTTCTGTGTATAGCCTGATTCAACATGCAGGACAAGCAGCCACCAATTAGGCTGAAGTGGACACAGGAATTATAGCAAAGGAGAGAGCAGAGGAATGACGTGCAGTAAACTTGAGCCAGGAGTCACAACGACGCAGCTTGTGACTTACTCAGCCATCAGGGTGGCTGTCCTGTATGTTTGGTCAGTTTTCTATAGACACTCCACTCCCACTGCCTGGTTTTCTTTGGCAATGGATAATGATCCTGATACAACTCTAATATGTCCCCATATTTTTACTTTGTGGCATAATATTCACAATATTATTTCCACTCCCCTGACTGCTTTATAATTTGAGTTGGAGTTTGTTTATTGGCCTGATGGGGAAAAAAAATATTGCTCATAGTTCTCCTCATTTCTGCTCTACCTACACATTGTTTTTACAAAAAAGAAATTTGCTGCTTGCTATTTATAACACCACAGACCCGATGTACGCAAATAGTGAATGTAAAATGGATTTACAAGTGTGTCAGTGTAGAGAGATTATTTTTGATCTCTCTAGACTGACTTTATTATGCTAAAATACATTTTTGGAACCAGATCATGTTTATTTTTAATGAAAGTATCTTAAAGTGGGTGTAGCCTAAAACAGAGAGCTGCAGTTATATTGCCAAAGCTTCTCATTATTAAGTTCTGCTTAATAACCACAAATGCGTGTGTGGATGTGTGTTAAATGGATCTCAGGATTAACCCTAGTCAGACGTCACTCTCTACTTTACACTGAAACATCACCGACATTTAAGTTGATGAGACGTCCTATGAATGTGTGTCTACCAACATGCTGTTATGCGACTGAATTCAACATTTTTCTCTAAGTTTGTGTGCTTTACTACTTGTGTTTTCCTTTCATTCTGCTGTTGATTGCACACTTCCTGGAAAAGGTGGGTGTCAATGACCTCTAAGTGCCATCCTAATCTTCTCAGCCATCCGCTTTGGTTAGTAACCAGTTATCTGTTGGATTAACTGGTTAAATAGTGACAGTATGATTGTTGGATGAACTACGTGGTATTTGTCCCCCCCCCTTTCACTGCCCAGATGGTACTACATTCAGCCTCTACCAGTCAGAATGGTGCAACACCACCATGCTATGTGAATTTCCTAAGCATGAAAGGCAAAAAAGAATTGGTTCATACTGAAAGAAGATGGACAGGAAAAAAAGTACCCGAAGGCTAGGAGAAGGAGGAGGAGACAGAAACACACAGTCTCACACACACACATTTCCTGTCCTGTGTGAATAGGCAACATATTTCTCTGGAACATTCCAACCTCTGAGCTGGCCTAGCCTGTCACCAAGACTCAGGGTGCCACACTCCTCCCCATCATATTTTCCCCATCCACTCGATTTCTTTCCTTTCATACGTTTTACATTATCTCACAGTGATATAATCAGAGTTCTGAAATGCGGTACGATTGATACACAGGAAATTGGTTTTAAAATGCCAAACAAACCAACAAAGGGAACTAATGTTATTTCAGGAATGATGTATAAGAGTTCAGAATGGGTTAAAATGAAATAAATAAATAAATAAATAAATCTTTTTTTTAAATTTATAGTTTATTTATTTAATTTGGGAAACTTACATTTTTTTTCTACATGCTCTGCATTTCAGTTCAGTTATTTTGAATGTAGAAAGTGCACACCTTGTAGAAGTGCCCAGTCTCATTAGTCCACTGATGTGTAGAAAGATCATTTAATAAGAATGATCAACATACAGTATAGCTGTGTTTAATGTCAATGTTTTAAAACTACTTGGGCAGATAAATGTGTGTATTTTGTGAAATATCCTAAAGCGTTAATAAGCTTCTCAAGTTTTTGACCCACTGGCATTAAAAGACATGTTGCATCTTCCCTGCATTCATCAATGAGCTCTTACTCATTGTGGGTTCTCTACTCTCTACTACTCTGGCCTGACTTTTACATGACATTACATGACTTGAGTAAACAGACTGCCCCTGTACACATCTGCGGTTTTTGTTTTGTTTTTTAATCCTGTTGCTTCCGTCCTCCTTTATTGTCATGTTTACTTTTTGACCATAACAATTGTTTGACATCATATCTGTAATTCTGTTGATCCAGCTATTATAAGGTCATTACACTATGGAGCTGTATAATCGAACCATTGTGTTTAATTGGTCATATAGATCTAGCTTATTTGCTAGATCTGTTTGCATAAAGTCAATTGATTACCCTACAAACAGAGAAAGCACCTGTACCTGAACTTTCTATCTGTGGTAAAGTCTGCTGTGGAATTATAGCACTCAATCAGGCAGGTAAAGACCTGCTTCAAAAGTGCTGGTTGAAATAAGAGCCGAAATGTTTGAAAATAGGAAACCTCTTATTGTCACTATGTATTTATAAACCTCTCTGCATTTAATCATCCTGTCTTCCTACCCTTACTCCAACTGGTCACGGCAGATGGCCGCCCCTCCCTAAACCTGGCTTTACTGGAGGTTTCTTCCTGTTAAAAGTGAAGGGTTTTTCCTTCCCACTGACGCCAAAGCGCTTGCTCATAGGAGGTCATATGATTGCTAGGGTTTTCTCTGTTGTGTCATCGTAGGGTCTACTTCATAATATGAAAGCAGAACTAAATTCATCTACATACCAATTAGGTCATTAGTTTTGCTTTTAAAGAATTACATTTTACAGCTGAAGTTTTGCAGCACTAAAAAAAGGAGGTTGTATTAAAAAAAAGAAGAAGTTTGAAATTGCTTTAAATGTACCTTCACATTTCACCAGAGGGCAAAAAGTGTGATAGTAATTATCAGCCACCCCACAATATATGTACCTTAGTCTACCCTTTACTGGCAGACATTCATGTAATTGTTACAGTCAAGTCAGAGGCATTGCATCATAAAGTTTGAGTGTATTTAAAGAAGCGAGTCATCAACATGCACCAGTGTTTGTAATACCCTTGCAAATATTATTTGTAAATATTTTTTTTAGCTTTATGCTTCTTAACGGCTTTACTTCCACACACAGACGTGGACATCAAAACAGGAAGGAGTCTGTGCGTCTTTAAACAGGCACCATGCTCTTCTCTTCACACGTGCACACTTCTTGTTCCTCCACCTCCCCTCATTAATCCTTCCTTTTATTCACTCCCAGTTTGGGTGAGAGAGTTAAGGAGCTTGTTTTAGATACTTTGGTTTAGAAACACAGATTATTTCTTTTTACGCGTTGTTTGTTTGTTTGTTTTTTAATGCAGCTGATATGCATTGTAAATGTTGTTCCCGAGACTATATTACAAGCCATGTAACCCATAGAAACCCATTTAATCCAGAAAATGGAATAAACACAGCTGGTGTCACTTTGAGGGGCCTATAAAAACAAGACATGTGTCAAGCAGCATTTCTCTTATCAAGGCTGAAAGTCCAGCCCCCTACGCTGCCATGTAGACATCAAAACAAACACTGCCATGCGCTCAAGTCAAAATTGCATCAGTGTGAGTTTTTGTTGGAATGTGAGTGTGTGTGTTTTCAATGCATCGTTTTCTTTTGCTCCACTCAATGCCATTGAATGGGGGAAGGTGTTCAGAGGGAAGACACACCCCTTTATCGCCAAATATGGAAAGCAACGTTCACTCTTAAAGGGACAGCGGGGTGTAGTTGTCTTCGTTTGTTTGCGTTGAAACGGAGAATCTTAAACAGTGCTTAAACAGTAGGAACATAAAATCCCATTACTAGATTTCTTTACCAGCTTTTCTGTGAAAAGCAGCGGACGAATCACATGAATCTCATTTCAATCTTCAGTTGTCAGTTTGTCTTGATCTGTTTCTTTTGCTTCCTCCTCCCCTGTCTACCCCCCTCCGCTCCTCCGCTCTCACCCCTATCCCCACATCTCTATATTTGGAGCTATGTGGCTGAAGACGTGTCTTGTTTTTCAAGCCACCTCTCTGCTAACTTTTACTGTTCACACACTCAAAAAGCCAAAAACAAACAAACCAAAAAACAAGTGCAACCATACTATCACTCAGCCAAGGAACCACCTATGAATAAGTACATGTCAGTACATGGTCTATGAGAGTGGTAGAGATTAATTTTGTATGCAGGTTTATGCACATATTTATTCTGGTGGCAGGTAGGATCAAATTATGTGTGTGACAGATTTTTATTTTGTACAAGGATTTTTATTTTTTTAAGCATGAATCATTTGTTAAGGAGCCATAACCTTAGAGTAATTTGTTAAAAGAGACACCACAAAGCTTATGCCCAGTCCACCCTCTTTTAAAACAGAGACAATACAGAAACTCTGCAGTAACTTGGCAGGAATAAATATTCCATCTTGTTTTGGAAACAGATGAAGGGTGTTACAGATGGAAACTGAGTTGGAGGTAGAATTCTTGTAGCTCAGGAGTCCTAGAGGGAGAGAATGACAGAAAGTGAATGAAATTTAAAGTGACGAGTAGCTGTCAGTATGTTGGTCTTGCATGTCTCAACCAGTGTACATCTGATAAAAAGTCAACCCAGTGTTCCAAAATAAAAAAAAATAAAGCATAGACAGGGAGGTGTGAGTGTGCATCTCCAGGAGCACTGGACAAAGAAGTGTTCTAAATATGTGTTGAATAAGCACTCGCTCGACAGCCTCGAAGATATATGTTGTGGTCAACTTTCTGTGCAGTTTCCACCCACTGTATGCGTGCTTGTGTCAGTAGTGCACTGTGCTGTGTGGACTTCAACAACACCAAACTGAAGTAGTTCTCGGGTAATCGACATCCTGCTCCTTATTAGCTCACAGATGCTGCAATAGTCACACACACACACTCATAAGCACACAGCTGAGCGCTGCTCCTGGTCCTCTACTGATAAACTTTTTCACATGCACTTATTGCTCTATCAGTCCCACCACAGATAAGCCTTCTGCTTCATGCCTGCTTTTAATGTTCCACAGAGGAGCAAGAAATAGGGAAGCAGAGAAAGGGGGAGGGAGTGATTGCATAGTTATTAGCAGGTTTATTTTCTAAGACATTAACTTCTTTTATTAACTGTTATTCTTTAACCAATTCAAGCACACATGCACAACTTTACATGTGGTTGACTGTACAAAGAAAACTCGTCATGCTTGGAGATGAGTTGTGTGTTTTAATACACACTTTACGCAAAGTGTTCTTAAAGCCTGCACTCTACTTTTGCAGAACATTCAAAGCTTCAGCAGGTGGGAGGGCTTATGGATACTCACACCTCCTCCCCCTTTGCAATCCTTTCCTCCAGCCAATCAGGGCTTCAGCCACTACAGCTGACCCCCCTTCTGGTGAGCCAATCAGTTGGAAGCATCCCCCCCCCCCTTCCTCTCCCCTGTATGCCTTCACTGCTGAGTGAGCAAAGCATGCCTCACTCTATCAGCTGAGAGGAAACCAACAGAAAGAAAAGCGCACACACACACAACAGAGAGGATAGGATGGCTAGAAAGCTTAAAAGGAGGGGCCTGAAAGTACATAGAGGAAGAGGAGAAGTGGGAGGTGAGAAGGGTCTGTAGCATGCCAGATCGCTTTTGTATTCAAGATACTTTGGAGGTGTGCGAATGAGAGGAAAAAAACGGGAAAAGGGAGGACTCCGAAGAGAAAAGGCAAGGGAGGGAACCAGTGAGAAAACAGGGCTGCAAGTTTGTTGATGGGTTTTTCATTTGTGTATGTGTGACTGAGAGTGGAGAGAGGTAGACGGAAAGAAAACAGGATACATAGGCAGAGGGATAATTAGTGCATGCAGAAAAACTACTTGTCTTTCTTGCGACATTACCTATTTAGACGGAAGGAAGCAAAGACCAATGAGAAGCCAGGGAGTTAAGACCAATAAGGCACCCTAATCTAGTAGAAACAGAAATACACAAGAGGACACAGAGAAGAGACAACAGAGTCACCCCTCAAGAACACCTGATGAAATAGAGGAAGGAAGGGGAAAGACCGAGTGAGACAGCAAGATAATCTTTCTGCAAGGGTGAGTGAGACAAGTTCTCTTGGTGTGAAGTCAAGTGTACTAAAGCTGTTCCTGTTGATTGCTGTCATATTGTCAGCTGGGCTCGAATGACTCAATGTCTCCTAAAATGGCCACATGAAAGGCAGGCAGACAGATAGGCAGAGGGAGGGAGAAACAGAAACAGACCCTGTGTCAAAAAGGCATTCTCAGCAACTATGTCACTGAGCCAGCTTAGTTCAGACTGCAATTACTCTCCAGTCAGAATGCTGTGTGTGTCAACTCTAACGCTTTCTCGCTCTCGTTTATCAGTTTCACTGAACTTTACCTCTCTGTTGTGTTCTGTCTTTCTTTGCCACTTCCTGTCTTCTGCCTTTTGTTTAACATAAACACGTTCACAGACTTGGTGAGCTGTCATTCCAGTCCCTTGTGAACTGAGACTATAGTAATCTAATCAACAGCTGGTTGTTTGTAGAAACACCCAGTAACTTTTTCTTGTGGTGCTTTTTTTTTTTTTCTTTTTTTTTCTTTCTTCTTTTTTCCCTCCTCTCTGTGTTTGTTTATCAGCCTTCAGGCAGAGTACAGGCATGGGAGTAGTTTGGGTGGGGATCCGCTAAAACTTGGTGAGACAATCAGGACATTTGGGAGGTTACTGACTTCATGCTGATGCTATCATGCCTCTAGATTGACCGAGGACATAAAGAGGTCAGAGTGCATTTGACCACCTAGAGATAGGGTTTCACAAAAGCCAAAAATGTTATGTCACTGACTGAAAACAAACTATTTTACCTCTTTAGAAGGGTGGGCAATTAACCCTATCCCATGGTCTTTTTTTTAATCTTGCAAGCTGGGGGAAAAAAAATCATCGATTTTACACAGTTGGCATAATGCCACTGTGAAGTCTTTGTCTGCCTCTGGAAGAAGAGAGACTAGAAATTTACCATTAGCTATCCCAGTTTGATTTTTTTGCTTCACACTTTTCTCTGAATCCGAATGAATGAATGAAATGAGGGAGCAGGACAGCAGTGCAGTGGTTAGTACTGTTGCCTCACAGCAAAAAGGTCCTGGGTTTGAATCAAAGAGTGTGGTTTCTGTGTGGAATTTGCGTCTTCTCCCTGTGCCTGTGTGGGTTCTCTCGGAGTACTCCAGCTTCTTTCCAGTCTAAACACATGCAGTTTAGGTTAACTGGTGATTCAAAATTGGACGTAGGTGTAAATTCAAGTGTGACTGGCTGTCTGTCTCTCTATGTTAACACTGCAACCTGTCCATGGTGTATGATGCTTCTCACTCTATGATAGCTGGAATAGAAAAATGTTATGGATAGCTAAAAAACTAAAACGTGTGCGTTTCCTGTGTTACCTGCAAAAATTCCCAGTTAGCAAAATGTTTGTATTCTAATAAAAGCATTTCTATACTAAAAGAAGTGAATCTTCACAGCCGTAAGAAGGTCAGCTGTTTTTATCTGAGGACTCCACCTATGAGAAATTGTAACTGTCGAAGAGCATGCAGTAAAAATATCTAAAGTATACAGTAGCTTTGTTGTTCTTCAAATCAGTTGAGGGTTGAAAACAAACCCAAGCCGTTGCAGGATTAAATTGCTAGGTTTTGAGTCTGATCTTTGACATCTCCATAGATTTTACTGGAAACTGCTTTTAGGTTGCATGATCACTTACCTCTTAATGACATCTTTCTGCATTCATTTCTTTATGTATAGCCCAGTGGTTTGACATCCCCCTTGTTATGCCAAAAACAGTTCATGCCCCTCACCACACAAAAAATCAAGCCACAAATCCCACAATCTTATCAGTTTCTAAGAATAAAAAAATATGAATATCCATATTCAGCTGCATCAGGAAACTATTATTGGTTTGTTTTCTCTAAAATAGTTTATTCACCTTAGTTTCAATTCATGTTTTTCTCTTCTATGGGTTGTCTTGACCTTACCAGGAGTGGCTCCACGTCCCAACATTAATGCCCACCCCACCTTTTGAACATGACTGTTATAGCTTAAGTGTGTTTTCAAGGATGTAGTCCATCCATGTGCAGCTTTGTTTGCTAGAAACCACAGGGTGTTAAGTGTGCTTTTGCCTGTTTTGCAGATGTTTGGTAGTTGCCACCCACATTACTGATGGGTGTCTAGTCTCATAAGCTCTGATTAGTCTTTCAAGTGGAACTAAGAGTGTATGTGTAAGCCATATGCCTTATTGTTAGCAATTACCACATCCCTAACACCACCTCCCATAATGATTGAGTCAAACTCTTCTGGGCCTCTTGATGGGCTATAAGTCATCTGACCCAACACTGTTGGCATTCAACCTCATGACCACAATCTTCTTTGCCCTGGAGGATGCTCATAGACTGACACAGTGGTGCCTATGTGTTGAGTGTTGTGCATTCCAATGAACACATACTTGTACATATTTCAACACACATAACCGAAATGTCTCAAAGAAAAGTAACTTAATACAAACGCTAAATAACAATATATGATAATGTGACTATTGCTTAGGTTGAAAAGTTGGAAAATGGTCATTTTTCCAGGAGGTTTCACTCTGGATCCCAGTTGTTTATCAAAATGAATAGGATCAGTGAGTACCCTATCTCACTGTCCTTTTGTTGTATTGGAAAATTATTTCCTGATTTAATAATAGGAAGATTTCCTTTTAATGTTTTTCCATGCATGACTCAGTCTGCTGTTGCTTTGATCCAGATCTAGGGCCGAGTCAGACAAACTAAGCTTTTTGTTCAGCAATTTTAATTTATTTTTGTCATCCTCTTTAACATTTTACTACTGTGTTTCTTAAAACTATATTCCTACTATTTTAAGTTCATTTTAACATGGATTTGAAGCAAACTGAGTAAAATAATATTAACTTCAGTTAATTCATGACTCATTAGTTGTTTGGGTTTATTTATTATAAGTTTTGTTTTTTTATTACTTCATATCTTTTTTCTTTTTCTTTTTTTTTAGCTTATTTTAAAGATATTAAATTTATTTTATTCTAGTTTTTATTTCATTTTTGCAATATTTATGTTGGAAGATTTTTCTGCATTCAACCATTTTCAAGGAGTGTGTTGTTAGAATTAAAAAATTATATTTGAATATTATTTTTTTTAACATTGTTTTTCCATTTTATATGCTCTGAACCAACTCGCCTCATAACTGCTCGTTAATATGTAGCCATGAACATGCCAGGTTGCCCCTGACACTTGGGGGTGGGGCTCTATTTATACCATCCTCAAGGTCTTTGGTTTGGGTTGGCCTCTCTCGGTTCCCCTCATCCTTTATCTCTTTGCTTTCTCTGACCGCTGGTTGCTGTCAGGTGTTTTTAAGTCTTTTATCTTTCATCTTGGCCTTTTTAATCTCTTTTGTCTGTTTCTGAATGCAGATAGATTTATAGGCAGTGCTGCAGAGGTTATGTTGTTTGCAACTGGCTCACCAGTGATAGGCAACATCTTTATTACTTTTAGCAATGCATTGTTAGTGAAATGTAAGAAATTCTTTAAAAAACAAAGTTTTAATTAAAAAAAAAATCTAACAATTCTTGTGTGGTGTTAAAAACTCATTTTATTTGCTTATATTTTGGATAAGAGTTAATTTGGACATTTTATAATAAATTGCATATACTTTACGTGGGCTTTTACAGTCACTATAAGTACAGATTTTTGCAATCTGAACTGTGTGAGAAGCACACAGTTCAGATTGCATAGGTCATATGAATTTGAAGCAGATCAGATTTAACCTGTAGATGTGAATATGGTTTTCATAGGTTCTCTGACCTGAACTGCCACCATATCCAGAAACCTGAGACATTTTTGGGGTGAAGCCAGACCTTTCCCTCCCGTTGGTTACTGGATTAAGCCTGAGAAGGGCTGGGCAGCATCTGCCAGACTCCTGCTCCTTCAAAATAAGGTCAAAAATCAAGTGGGATCCTGCATAGAGCCAACTGGGCTATGCAGTAGGCTATGACTATAAATACTGTTGCTGACTCTTCTCTCATCCCCCCCCCCCGATTGCTGTGTGTGTATTTGTGTGTCTGTGGGTATAGTTATGTGTGATATAATTACTCGCAGTGAACTTTTATGATGTCTCTTTATCTGACTTGGTAAAAACACCAGGTCTGGTTTGGCACTCCCTACTCAAATATCAACAAAAAATTGAATGACCTTGGCTAGCAGGATTTATATTGGAAATGTCCTGTCATGTCCTCTTGCTCATATTTTCCTGTTTATAGTAAAGAAATCTCACACCAGTATGGGTAGTTTGGCTTGTAAAGAATCAGACTGATCTACTTTGTTATGTGTACATCTGTGTTTACAAACACTTTCCGCTTATGTCGTTTCTTACTGACATGCTTATTAGCAGCATATTGGCTGTTTATTAATCATCTGTTACATTTTTTGTTTTAACATTTTTAGTGCCATTAAGAGGGAGTTATTATTCTTGTGGTGGTGTCACCTAGATTTGTGTTTTATGCTTCGTTTTTGAACTTAGGCAACATTACAGCTTTTACATAAGCGGCCAATAAAGTTACAACCATTCATACTTGTGTATAGTGTGCCAGCATTGTTCTGCACGGTCACTACCAAAACACTAGTTGGCGATATAATTTCTGTCTTTGAGCTGATCCATTTTTTTCCGATTGATTTAAATGATGTCGGCAGAAGTAAGTTATAGTGTAGGGTTTCAGTAGGGTTTGCAGTTATGATGTGCCTTTGGCATAGATTTAACACACAATAAATTCCACTTAAGATCCATAGTGGGCAAATTATATTAAGACTGTGATTTATGTGGAGCAGTTTTCGTAATAAAAGAAAATAACTAGGAAGTAACCGGGGAATACTCTTGATGGTCTTATAGTTGAGCTAATACATATACAGGCTGAAAAGCAACTACATTAGAATGTTTACTTAGTGTCACCAGATGTTTTGATGTAAAAATAAGATAAGCACTCCTCTTTATATGAAGCTTGTGCATCCTGGGGTTTATTTTTTCAAAGTAAAGTAATCCATTCTAATTACAAAGGTTTCACTCCTGACCATGTGATTTGTTGTATGAAGTCATGTATGCCATTAGATTAGATGTTTTGTATATATATATATATAAACATCTTGTAATGTAACACAGCATGAAGGTTTAGTGAATGTAAAATTTGTTTTTTAGAGCAATAAGAAATATAATACAGTACATGCTCATAAATGTTATTGTTCAGTAATTCAAACACCTGCTGAAGGTCAAGAAGAGTGCAGCCAGTCATATCATTAGATAGTATAGCCTTTGGGGGGATTTTATTCAGCATCCAGTTCCAGCATTGGAAACATTACACCCGTATTTCCCTGTACTGGAAAATATGCATGAATACTCCAGTTCTTTTTTGTTGCTTGATCTTTAGGATTGTGTCATCACTTCTTTTCACGTTACAGATTTCTGCCTGTGTCACCGCAGTTTCATCATAATGTTTTAAATGCAAAAAAAGCTGAAGTACCTGGTTTCTGTAATGTAGGTCTCAGTGGGAACCAACTATACTTCTCTTTTTATATGAGTGCCAGGGGAAGACAGTCAGATTAATGTTCTTCATTTTCAAGCTTTGAATAAAATATCCAAGCATTTAATTGAACTATTTTTGATAGCTTGATACAACATAGGCCTGTGTCACAGTGGCCTGAAATTTTTAGTTGGCTGGAGAGATTTAAAATGGGAACACTGCTTATTTTGTCAATGTTTCCCAATTTTTATTGTATATATAAAAATTAATAAAATTATATATAATATAACTATTACTAATTATATAATATATATTATATATATACTATATATATATTATATATTAATATATATATTTATATATTATTATATATAATTATATATATTTTATATATATATATATATAGATATATATTATATATATATATATATATATATATTTATTTGTTTATTATTATTTGTTTTTGGACGAGCAATCTATAGTCGTCGCGCCGCCCGCCACCCCCACACCCTTGCACCCCCCTACCATCCACCCTGTCTCCTTCACTCTCTCTAGCTCAGTGTGTCTTTTTCCCTCTTTGTGGCCAAGCACAAAGGAGTCGTTATCCTTGGACTACTGGTTGCCACGGTGACGGCTCACTGTGCCCCCGCTCCCCCACATTCCCAAATTGTAGTCCAAGTAGGTTTGGAAAGAGCTTCCCCTGGCCTAGCATGATTTAGTGTCAAGTTAGCTCTCCGAATGACTCCTCCTCATTTCATCCTCAAATGGGATATTTTTTTTATACAGATAAGAGAGTGATTACACAATTTTTAATCTGTTGACGTTTTGGTAACATAAAATTAATAGTAAAATATATTAAATGGCCTGCTTTTTAATTGCTTTATGCTTAAATATCGACATTCTAACTTACCCGTTTCTCACGCTAAGTCTCTCTCTCTCCTTCTCGCTCCTAAATCTGTAATTTAATTTGGTGTCCTGCCTCTTCACAGATACTGGGTGGAATGACCCTGTCATGATGCCTCAGCCATGCCACATCTCACGCCTAGGTGACCAAGGAGGGTGTGTCTGGCTTTCAGCCAATCACAGAGGGAAGCCCATTAGAATTAGTAACAACTTTGAGATATTTCTCCTCAAGAGCCTGCTACATCACTGACACTCTCCACCACTGGTAAATTTCAACCTTTGCTGCTCAAATCCAAATCTTATGTCTTTTGCATACAAAGAAGCATTAAGTGGTCCATTGTATATTTACTAACATGGTTTCCCAAGCTAGGCTGTAGTACTGAAAAGGAAAAAAAGCCTTTTTATCCTCATAAATTTGAATCAGCAACTTTGACTATAAATACATATACCTGTAATGGTGCTGATTTCTTCTGTCACTGACAAGAACACTGACCTTTGTATTTTCTCTCAGGTCTTGGCTCCTGTGCCTACCTCCTTCACTCCGGTTTGTTCTTGACTCCTTGGTGTTTCCTGTTCACATGTTCTGGGATACTGGCTTCATTTTTTTGAGAGCTGCCATGGAGTTAGATGGGTTCCTTTAGTATGCTGTTAGATACAGCTTTCCGATGTTGTGCCAGATACAGCTTGTCCACACAGGGAGAATTGGACAAGGACGGGCACAGAGATGAGCTGTTGTTCTCAGGTACTGGCTTGAATATAAGTCCTCTGGCTTGGTGGCAGGGCAGCCAACCTTAGCTGACTAAAACTAAGATAGTAATCACATTCTTTTAAAAGATTTTAAGCCATTGTGTCTGAACTATTTGAGGTATGCCTTTTCTATGTAGCCAGGATGGGATTTTTAGCCTCCCTGCTTAACTGTTTTTCTTTTAAAACTTGAGTCTTTTAATAATTTCTTTTTAAAAATGAGTTTTATTGCAAGTTTTAAGTCTTCCTTTTTGTTTGAAGTAGTCAGCCAAGTGTGTGTGTATGTATGTATGTATGTATGTATATGTATATATATATATAAAATTTAAAAAAGTTCGGTTAAACTTACTTTTTAAATGTCAAAGAGCCTAACTTACAAATATTACAAAATAATCTCTGCTTTATTAAACGTTTTCCTGAATTGTAAAATTGTCTGTTGTTTCTCTCAGGAGCTTTGTGGCCAAGTGTCCTGTGTTTGACATCACTGCAAGAAGTGTAGGACTTACCCCTCCTGTGGATCATCTTGCTCTTGCACTTGTGAGGATCTACTTGACCTTGTTGCACAAAACTTAGTTTAGACTCTTATCCTTCAGCCGTCAAAAGATGCGGCACATTCACGTTGAGTTAGCCCACAAAAAGGCTCCACTAGAACTTCCGGCACAGGAGGGGGACCTGCCTCCCTCTTCACAGGGCTTAGACCCTGGTGTCAGACCAGGGGCACCCAGGCACCTTGACCAGGAGGAGTTGAGACTCCAAAAGGTCTACCAGCTCTCTATTTTCTCTCAGTTGGGAGGATTTACCACCGCCACAGAATCCCACACTGATGCCCAGCAGAGGCCTATTCGATCAGGTGTGAAAAGGGGGTTAGAGGAGCCTCAGTTAACTCATAAGCGCCCCCACCTGGGGGACTCTCCAGACAGGGAGGGGCTTGAAGGAGGGATGCTGTGTGGGCCAGTCACAGCTCAAGGTGCAGGAATGGGGTTAGCTGGTGGGCCTAGTGGATCTGGTTCTCTGTACTCTTGCATGCAGATGGAGCACAAAGACCCAGAGGAGGGATTGTTACCCAGGTCTCCACCCCTTTCCCCTACCCACAATCCTTCCCGACGCCCAGCTCAGTACAATCAAGATAGGCCATTTCCTGACGTATTTGCTCCACTCTCACCTAAATCAGCCCCAATGTGTGACCAGGGTCATTCCCTTGGAAGCTCAACTAGGACAGAGATACCTAATGGGAGCCGCACACCGACCCACTCACTAGGTAGCCCTGGAAATGACAGCTGTAGTAACGGGTCATCTGGAGGCCAGCCCAGCCCCCACATGTATGAAATGTCCACATATGAAACTCCTAACCCAGCCAGCCCAACCAGTCCCCCAGGTCCTTTTTCCCCACCACACCATACAGAGATGCAGGAACCAGGGGAGGCAACAGAATGGGAAGTTGGACTTGAATCCTCCCCACCTGAGCGAAGTGCCACCCAGGCTGCCACCTCCTCTAACGGCCTGGCTTCCTGTGAGAAAACTCCTAGCACTAATGGCCACCGTCTCTTTTCTGGAGGCCACTGGCCTGCCAAAAAGAGGTTGCTGTCTCCAAGTGATACAGGGGAGTCGTGTTCAGAAGATGAGGGACCCTCCACATCTAAGAGAAGCAGGCTGTCATTGCTCGCTCCAGGACTGGGGCCCGCTTCATGTCGTAGCACTGATGCTAAAGCTGCCCCTTACTGGAACCACCTGCTGCCCTCTGTTTGGGACCGGCCTAAGGTTAGCACACATCATCTTTATCATATGTCTCGTGGTCATTTTAATGCAGCACACATTAATGAACAGCAGTGGCACATTTCCATGATACCGTCATCGTTTTAAACCACAAACCTGTAGAACTTGTATGCAGAGCCGTCAGAGATTTTGAATTGTGATTAATGAAATGCATTTGAATAAGTATAGGTAAGAAATCTGCTATTCCTGACAGCCCTGTATAAGGGCTTGAGGTATTAAAAACACAAAAGCTGAGAGAACAACTAAAGGTAAAAAGAATGAGGTGATGGCTGGCTCATTATCATGCCACGCTGGAACAGGGAGAGCAGCTCCAGAATAAAGCCCATTCAGGGAGGGCCCATTGTTCCCCCACATGAGTATGCTGTGTCTCTCATGCTCATATGTATTGATACATCCTGCTTAAAAATGGTTCTGGAATTGAATTTTTTTAACACTGGGAGGCCAGAAAGTGCTTTGAGTTTGTGGTATGGCGAGTATGCTAATGGTTGCAATAGGGTTCACTAGTTTCACTGGTTTCATGCAGTAGTGGGATCATTGTGACTGCAAGTGATTAGTGTGTTTGTGTAGCAGGGAGAAACAGATAGACTTAAGAAAACACAAAACAAAACAGGAAAGGGAATCAGTGACAGATGAGGCAGAGTTAAAGAAAAGCAGCTAGGATAGACTGTCACAGGCAATATTTCAGTAAACAAAGGCTGGAAATAAGATATTTTAGGTCATACGGAACGGTGGGACAAGATAATTTTCAAAATGCCGTCTTTGGATTTAACCAAATGTGAGTACGAGCTGACAAGCTGACAAAGAACTTCTAGCTCTGAAGGGAGCAACTATAACCAAGGATTAGCTAGTAACGATAAGTTAATGATGAGTGAGAGATTTTCTGTGAGAAAATGGCTAGCAGGCAGCATGGGTTTGGCCAGTGGCGAGTCACCTGAGAATAGGGTGGCCTTTATGGTCATCGGAAGCCTGGAAATGGGGAATGTATGCATGCGTGACACAACAACCACTAGTCAGTGCACAGTAAGTAGGACACCTGAAATATGTAATTACACTTAACAATTTAGCTCACAGCACCATAGAAAAACAAGCACTCCTTTATGATTATGAGTAGCTTAATGATAAGTCAGGATGTTAACAGAGGGGAAAAAAAACAAATCATACTCTTTCCTCTATTTGTCTTCACTTTTTTTAGACCTCCACAGACTGCACAAGATCAGGAAGACGACTAAAGAATGGACTGCGGTTAAAAAGGTGAGTAATCCACTCCATTTGTAGTCAAATATTAATATTAAAGAGACAGCATATACTAAAAATGAATTTGGGCTGTGTTCAGACTGAACGTGAAATAAAATATTTTTGTAAATCCACAAATATTTGTGCGTAAGAGTCCTGCAGTTTGGCTCACTTTGCTCCAAGGCCTCTCCTCACCGTCCCAAAGTAGAATCATACAGCTGCAGTTGCCCAAAAACTGTAATAAGGGTTAGGCCCATTTCTGATTGCCAGGAGAATCCACAGTCTATGGCTAAAACTGAGCAGAAAGTCTTTCACAGTATTTGGAACTTGCACTGATGGATATTTCCCTCTATTCAAAATGTCTGATGCAAATTTGTGTCAGTCGGCATCTCTGAATAGACTTTGTAAATGCACAGCGCTATTCACATTTGGTCTGAAGACTCTATTAACTGTTTTCACCCACCTACACACATGCGCGCACTTATCTATAAAAACTCTCAGCCAATGTCATACTGACTTCACCAAAATCAACATTGGGAAAGGAAGTGGGAGTTCGAGCAGGTCTTCTGTTGTTTTTTAAATTAAAGGGTTTGTGCCTGTAACCGAATATTCAGACGCACTCGGAGGCATGTGACATATTGGTTAAGACTAAATTAGTGTAATCTTAACCGCTAACCACCGGTCTCTTTTGTGTGTGTGTTTGTGGTCATATTCAGTCGGCAGCTGCGCAGCAGCAGTCACACAGACACCGGCCGTTCCACACGTTCCAGTGGGCCTACATCGTCCATCAGCAGATCCCTGCTCGGCAACTTTGAGGTGCGAATTTTATTTTATTTCTTGCAGCAAAAACAAAACATCAACAAGGACCAGTTATGATTGTTATAATAGGTCCACATTATCTTATCTTCATGCATCCTGTCAGCTCATTCTCTATCTGACAGCAACAGTTTTAGCTCTTCTCACTTAGAAAGTGTCCTCCATTTAAACCATTTATTCTTACTGCTTGCCTTTCACAAACAGAAGACTTGAGCTTCTTATGGGAGGAGGCTGCTGTGCCTAAGATGACCATATTAAAGATATTTGCACTTATTGACATACTACACAGCCAAGAGTAGAAAACTTTTTTCTGAAAATGAGCATAAAGAACACTCAGAACGTTTGTCTTAAAGGAATTCCTTGAGCGTACACTTTAGCCATGTTTATTATCCACCAGTGTAGTAGTATGTATGACAAAAACCAAGCTGAAACATAATAGGTCTCCTTTAACTAGTAATGTAATGTAATGTGTCCCACATGGAGATGGGGATAATCTTGGTTCTTCTTTGGCAGCATACACTTGGAGAAACCTTTAAGGCACATTTTTGCATTGTAATGTAATTCAGTACAAATTGTAACCTGTAATTCCAACTCGAAGCCATTTGGAAAAACAAAACAAGAATTTTAGTGATTTTTTTTTTCTCCCCATTCATCTACACAACTTGGGGGAAAGTGTTTGTATCACAAGGGGTTTTTTTGGTTTTGTTTTTTAAAAAACACGTGTAGTTTTAAGGAGCATTTTGGAGGACAAGTCCACATGCTGTAGCCTCAGCAGGGCATGGCCATTTTAAAAGTGTGGCTCTCTGCCAAAACAGTTTTTCCTGAATCCCCCTTAGATGGGAGCCAAGTTTCTCAGCCTTGACAGGCTAAAGCTTTCAAAAATGCAAAATCCACATAATATAAACCCGACAACCTGCAGTCACAGCCCGAAGGTCATGTTTGACAACTTTGGTGGAAGGAAAATGTGATCTTTAAAAAAAATACATATAATAATTTGTTCTTTAATTAAATCCAACATGAGCTGGAATTAATAATAAACCAGAAGAAAGTAGTTTTACCACGACTGCAATGACAGATTTATTTTAATTATGCTCTGACAGTGGATTTTTTTCGTACTGATGCACCTAATACGGTGATCATTTGCATTTTGTAATCTGTATAGGGTTCTGTTTAGACAGTTGTGATTTATTATTGACACATTTTTTTTAAACTGTTTGATTGTCTGCATGTAAGAGGACTTGGCCAATTAGGCAGTTGAAACAAGGATAGAAGCTGGTTTACGATGACAGGTGTTCTCATGAGAGCACTGTCAAGATGTTACTTTTGTTTTTCACTACAGCCTCTACATTTAATTGTCAATGATGAGAAATGCCTCCACAGTCAAGACTTACTTTTGTAATGCTGAAAATATGTTAACCTCATTCACATATTAAAACTTTAAAGACATTCATAACAATTGTGACAAATGATTTTTTTTTTCTTTTTTAAAAGATGGATTCTCAATCTTAAGAGTTTCATTTGTTAATTAAACAGACAAATAAATAAATAAATATTGCTGTTTCACAGTTTTATGCTTTTATGCTCACAGTGTTGCTGGTAAACAGATGCATATTTTAACACTGTCCAACTGAGCTTTGGTTTCAATTAAAATAAACAAATGAAATGTGGATCTTTATGGATTTCACAGTCATGGGTTTATCTGATTCACCACCCAGTTTGACTCGTGAGTCAAATTGACATTTACAGTTTTAATAGACTCTCTAAGTCTACAACCCATTTCACCTTCTGTTGTGCTTCCCAGGAGTCCATACTGAAGGGGCGATTCTCCCCCTCAGGCCGAATTGAAGGCTTCACAGCAGAGATCGGTGCCAGCGGCTCCTACTGCCCACAGCACGTCACCCTGCCTGTGCAGGTTACATACTATGACATCTCGGAGCACAGCGCACCCTCACCCTTCCTGGTCAGTGTGTGTGTGTGTGTGTGTGTGTGTGTGTGTGTGTGTGTGTTGTGCTATGTTTTTATGTTGTTGTGTATATCCTTAGTCAGGAGAGGAAAAAAAGATAAACGAAATGTTTGCTGTGGTTTGTTGGTTGGGGAAAAAAATAAACCCAATTTAGAGATCAGAACTACTAAAACAATGCGCGTGTCTGATTGATGTTGATTTGCCTCTTCACAAGCAGATGTGGAAAATGTCTTTCTGTGCATATGCTACGATGCTGTTCTTCAGTTCATCGGGAAATAATGTACATTTATTGCATATGCCAAGAAAGCATTTTAGCAGTGTTATGAGGAAGCCCTGATGTGCTTTAATCCTGCTGGAAAAATGGAAAAGCAGCTGTTTCACTTTTAGATTAATTCCTCATTTCTACTTTGATCTGCGGTGTATAGTGAAGGTCAGGCCTCCTTTGATTCACTTCTTTGAACTCTTAATTTGACTTTCCATGCAGCTGCCTTTACAACTGCACTCTGCTGCAGTAGTTTTAGAGTTCATCAACTTCATTTCTGAATTTCCTTTTTTTTTGGTTTTACATGTGTTATCAATACATATATGCAGATTTCATCTGTGTTTTGGAACAGAAATGGAAAACTACTGCTGTCATACTGCTGCCACCTACGTTTTATTTCATGGCGCATAGTCTTCGTGTAGGTTTTAAGTATTAAAATGTTACAGATTATTTCATCATTGCAGTGACTGAGGATATGTATTCTGTGTCTCCTTTTTCTCACAGGGGGTAATATCCCTCGAACCTCTTGGAAAGAAAGGATACAGCATACCCAAAGCAGGGACCATTCAAGTGGTAATTTTATGTCATTCTTTACATCTTAATAAATAGATAGATAGATGAATGACATTTTGATCCTGTCATGTTTATACTTTTAAGGGTCACATATCTGTAATTATTATAGCTAAACCATTGAATTTAAATCATGCTGAGCTATCTCATCTATTACTGTTGTGTCCTCAGACCTTATTTAATCCCAACAAAACTGTGGTGAAGATGTTCCTGGTGACCTACAACTTTAATGACATGCCTGTTAATCATATGACGTTCCTGCGACACCGCATCTTCTTGGTGCCAGTAGAGGAGGGAGCTGAGGGAAAAGGCGAGGCGTCTCCAGGAAGTGGAATGCTAGATAGGAAGAAGATTCTCTGCTACCTTATACATCTCAGGTACAACTAAGGTTTTATAAGTGTTTTGCTTTGTTTTTTT